TTTTATACAATGTTATAGATATATTTTCAATGTTTCATAAAGTTTTTTTTATAGGAAAAGACATTTTTGATATTAAAAAGGTTGTTTTTATATTTGTATTTACTTTCAAAAAAACAATGTTAAAAAAATGAGAATAAAAAGGAGAAAATATTTTTAGATAGCAAATTGAAAGAACTAAATGTTGACTTGTGACAGAGAAAAATATTGTGTTTTGTTTTTGTAAAGATAGAAAAGATTACAAAGATGGTCATAATGAGGATTGAACCTAGGTTCTCATGCTTTTAACTACCCTAACCTCTCTCCACCCAACCACTAGGCTAACCCTAGTGGTCAGAGAAAAATATTGTTTAACAAACAAGTTTATCTATTCCTATCATAAGAGGAATATATTTTGGTAAAAGCCCTTTTAATCTTTACTTTTTAGTAAATTATTATATTTTTTGGAAATAAAAAAAAATATCCTTATATTTTTTTTATTTGTGTGTAACTATTAAAGACACGAAGTATCTCGACCCTTCTAATTATCATAAAAATAATGAAATTATATATTGCACGGATTTTGTTATTTTAAAATTAAAAAATACAGATAAGTATAAATTATATAAGAAATAAAAATATTATCATAAAATAGTGTAATAATGTATTTTAAGAAATAAGAAATTTAAATAAAAAATTGACAGTCTTATATTTATAAGAAGTTAAAAAGTAAAATAAAAAATATCATATTTATGTGGCAAATCCATCTTATCAAAGTGACAGTTTTTTTTATTGAAAAAGAGAAAGAAAACAGTGATTTTTTTTTTGGAGAAAACTGTAAAATATTTGCAATTGCAAAAAAAAACTAAGACCTCAAAAATAACGGATGTCAAAAAATAAGAAGAGTCAAAAATGTCTTTTTGCTAGCTTAAAGGATTTATATATAGATAGTAGATTTAACATATATGTGCATGTAAATTTAAAGATTGGTATCATGATTCGAATCCAAGTTTCACTCATAGAGGACCAACCAAATCCCTATTACACCACCCAGTTTCTTATTTAACCGATAGACAAATATAATATATATGTAAATTATATTATATTTTATTTCCACCCATTTTAAGTTAAATTGTTCGCTAGTGATACATGTATGACATAAATAAATTTTATACTATATTTTTATATTTAAAATTATATATTCTATATTTATTCATATAGTTCAATTCTGATTTATTTTTTCAGATAAAAGAAAAATAAAGCTTATTTTGGACAAGATGGAACTTGGAATGTGAATATAATTATTTAATCATCTTAATAATCACTAAACTTTTTTTAGCTGATTACTAAGTGATGGAATCAAGCAGGTAAGATGGAGAAGATAATCTTCCTTACTTGAATCCGCAATAGATCTTGCCTTTGAGACTTTGATTCCAGCAAAATGAAGAGATGAAGAAGACAAGATTTGAAGTTCCAAATCTTAGAAGGAAACACTCAAGCTAGGAGTGTAAATGATGGCTCACGGTTTGGCTTTAGAAAGTGAAGGATTCCTAAAGCTAAACTAAGAACCTAGGTGACTTTGGGGAGAGAAATCTGAAATGTATTCAGAAGAATTCTCAATTATGCTAAAATTGTTTACAAAGAGTGAAGGAACAAGCATTTATAGATCCTAGAAGCAAGCTAGGTGGCGCCAACTTCACTAGCCACAATTGGCGCCAAAAATTCAAATTTCAAATGGAAATTTGAATTCAAATTCAAGGCTCCATGTGCTAGTCCTTGAATTTAGGGCTGCCATGCATCTAAATGTCATTTAGGGGAAATTTGAAGTGTATTTGGAGGTGCACATGTTCAGCCATGCTTGGCAAGAAACATGTGATCCAAATGCATCTTAAATGACTACTAAATGAAACCTAGATTTTAGCTTCTTGTTCTATTTTTAGTATTCCTTCAGTATTCCTATGCTAATGGCCTAAATACAATGGCAAACCAAATATTAACATTAGGAAATAATAAAAGAAATAAAATAAGCCCAATATTGGGTACCAAAAGCCCAAAGGCCCAAGAAGCCCAAAACTAGGCCCATTAAGCCTATGGCCCAAAAATGTTACTCTATGTGGTCCAAAATACAAGACCAAAATATATGAAACCTATACTAATATAATATATACAAAATAGAAGAAAATGACTATCTTAAGTTGTGACCCATGTGAAGAGCAAATTGGGCCTTCCCAGCCCATCGGGCCCATTGGGCTTTGACTGGCCCAAATCTTCATGTCTAGCCCATTCCTCTTGGGTCCTTCAAGGTGTCACCTCTTGGCCTCCTTGGCATGATTCCATCACTAAGGAATCTCTTGAGGGTTTAACAAATATTAAATAGATAAACATCTCTTGGCTTAAGTTTTTTACATTTACAAGAATTAGGATTCGAATCTTGATTAATTGGTTAAACAACCACTACAAGAAATTCGTCATTTTGCGCGTTTTTTTTTTCATATTGCTGAAATTTACACCCCCTCAAAATTAGTAATGACATTTTATAAAAATGCCGCAGTTACGTTCGCCACAAGCATTATACGACAGTTTTTACCAACCTTGGCTACCTTTTCCATTTTGCAGCGTTTTGTTTAGAGGGGTTTTTTGACCTCCTCAATTTAAATGATGTTTTTTTTTTAACTTCACAATATATTTTATTTTTTTAATCTAAATTACATTTAACCTATATACAAAAAAAAACAAGGAGGTACTCATAACATAATCCAAATCCCATTGGATAATATTAACTTTTTTATAAGAAAAAAAAAGGAATTAATGGGAATACAAACTACCGATAGAAACCCATAATATAGAAAACAAGATGCCAAATAAAAAAGACAATAATAACATAAAAAACAACAGTAATCAAACATTTGATATCTGTGACAACAAGACCACATTGAGTGCACAATTTAAATTCAAATTTTTGCTCCATCCATAATAGTAATGGACAATGGATCGATAGTAATGAAAGTAACATAACTACAAAAGAGTAAGAACAATCAAAGCTAATTCAGAAGTCCAAGTTGACAACAAATAGAGCACAACAATGTATAACCAAAAGAAACTAAGTTTTTACAACACTTCATAAATTCAAAAACCATGATAACCTAAAGCAGTCCACAATATAAGAAACTAGGTCTAAATATTAGACCGGCTATTCAAGTTGCTACCACCAGATGATCCTCTAGAATCTAATGGTGATTCAGGTTCACTTCCAACGTCACTAGGTTGAAATAAGAAAAATAAATTAGTGTCAGTACAGTTTAGAGATAAAGGAAGTGCAATTTGGTCCTAATATATAATTCCATAATTCAAGTGCAATCTCCAAGACCAAACTAATAAGTATCTTAAGAAATAAAATTGAATAAAATTGTCACCTCTATATGGTGTTGAAGCAACAAATAAGAGAAAGAAAAAACAAGTAACCTAAGCCTATGCAATCACATCCAATATTACATTCAATCACCAAATAATAAGTCATAATACTTACCTGTGAAAGAAAGAAACTAGCCAATTCATCAAGAATTTTTCCTTCCTTCATTATCATATAGGCCTTAAGGGCATTCAAGGTTCCTTGTAGTTGGGATTCCAAAAGAGTGAACTTTTGTTTGCACTGGTTAGAACATGATGATGATGAAGCAACATTGGATGAAGAGAGGCTCAAATCACTAATTCGAAGTGTCGCAACCCAAATATTTCCGATCTTGCGACCTATGGTTTAGACATCCTTTTTAAAAGTCTCATTAATTAAGGAATGCCCGGACACCAGACTAATCCTTAATCAACGGTTTTGAAAATAAGTTCGTGGAGTCGCCACCAATGTTTTACTCAAAACATTGGAAAAAGAAAAGATTTTTAAAAGTCCAATAATGGCCTTGATAACCAGAATTGGGTTCGGGGTCGGTTACATGTAGGGAAGGTATTAAGCACCCCTACAACGCCCTAAATCGGTACCCTATGATGAAGATAACGTAATAATAATTAATAGTTTAAATATTTAATCACCTTTATTAATGATTATTTACATGAAAATTAAATTACACGGTAAACCCCTAAAATATCTACATAATTGCGTTTATTATAGTAATATGTAAAACAAAAGGAAGAGAAAGATAAAACAAGAGATTAATGAGTAATACCTCGTAACAAGCTTTATTGGATCTTCAACTATGGAGGTTTTAGGTGCTTTGTGGCAACCTTTCACACTACAATAAGCCTCACCAAACTCAAGAAGTACAATAGGAGAGAGAGAGAAAAAAAAGGGAGAAATTTCGAGCTCTATGGAGCTTTGGACGAAATTTTTGAGGTCCCTGAAAACTGTGCCCGAGATTTCAATTTATAGGCATCAGATGTGGGCCGGAATGGCCCGTTCTAGATTCGGAAAGACTCGTTCCGGATCCGAACGTTACGTATAAATCTTGAACCCTAGAACGCCCCGTTCTGAAATCAGAACGGCTCGTTTCGGGGAACCAGAACGGCCCGTTCTGAATTAAGAACGGCCGTTCCAGGGTACAAAATGTAGGCCCTTTCATTGGTTTGGAACGGCCCGTTCTGGTCTAGAACGGTCATTCCAACCTAACATTTTTAGGCCTTTTAGGAGTCTCAGAACGGCCCGTTCCAATTTGGGAACGGCCCGTTCCGGGCCACTAAAAAAATTTGATTTGGGCCCTCTGATGTCTTATTTTGCTGATTGTATGCCCCGGACGAAATTGGGTGTCTACACGAAGTCTAGTATTACGAAATGTATTAGTAGGAGCTGCCCCCATACCCATGCATCTCACTCTCCTAGAGTGTTTTGGCCCAAACACTTTACCAACAACATCATTAGGAGAAATTTCAGATTCATCAATAGTGCTTTGGGTTAGAACAACTTCAATTTGTTCCTTTAATATGCATGCAAATCAATAACAAAGTTAAGAATATTGAAATGTGGAATTTGTGAAAACAACAAACAAAGGTTATACTTACCCCTATTGTCTTTGCTGCATCATTACATAAGATCCATCCTTTCTCTTATGAGTTTCAATAAACAGTTTTCCACGACTAGGATTTTGACCAGTTTCCAAAAACTAATATAGGAAAAGAAAAGGTAAAATGGGTATTTAATTTTATAAAGTAGTAAACTGTTTCAACTTTAGTGTGATTACCATCTCATGCCTTCTTCTTGCATTGGACTTAGAACCACCTATATGTTGAATTTTTTGCTTGCTTCGAATTTCTTTATTCCTTCTACAAAGCTCCTATGAACAATGTTAATCTCGTGGCAAGGATAAAATATTTAGTGGTATTAACAAAACATCAAGAAAAGTATCAAACTCTTACCAATGTCGATGGTTTCACTCGATAATTAACAAAATGAGCCCATTGATCCTTATCTATACCTACTGGCACATTACTTATAATTTCATCTCTAGTCTTGGTAAGGTCATTGAACTCATTCCATATACTTTGCCTGAAGGCAGCCCACTTCTTTCCAATACTAAGCTTACAATATCCTATTGTAGCAGCTTCAGTGGTCCTAAAACAATATTTTGGCTTAAAAATAAAATAGTCAGTTTTTATGTCATTTACATGTATCGATAAAATAAGTAGCAATAAAAAGTTATATATGCATAATATTTCATACCTTTAAGATCGTTAAATAATAGTCATCAAAGTAACATTTAGGCATGCCTGTTTTCCCTGACCACCTTTCAAAATTGATTGGAAACAAGTTACAATTAGTTGCTAAGATTCCACAAAATCCAGCAAGTAGGCCTTATGCCTATCCAAATGCTTGGCCTTGGTCATCAAACTCCACAACGATGCATTCCCCACTAGGTAAGTTATTAACTTCCCTAACCTTTATCTTAATCTTCTTTATAACTTCTTCTAAGTTTTTAACAAAAACACAATTGACTTAATCACAAGAAAATAATTAAAAACAAAATATCAATCAATTACAAATATATGTAATGTATATACTTATGGCATCAACATTCCAATGTTGTGAAGACTCACAATCAGTACGTCTAGATGTTGGAGCTTTGTTGTGGGAACTCTTCTTGTGGGACTTCTTCTTGTGAAACATCATTTGTTGGTGAGAAATCTATTGGTGGTGAAACATTTGATGGGACTTCAATAGATGGTGAAGGTTCTCTAAGATTCATTGTTGGCGAAGAATGTTCTTGAGTTTGTGTTAGAGGATTAACATCTCGTTGTGGTTGAGGTGCTGACTTTAATGGATTCTGAAAACGTTTAACCTTTGGCATGGCTGCATGTTATATGATAAAAAAAAAAAGATAAGAGTTAAGATATATAACAAATTTGTAAATGTAACTTAAACATGTTATAATAATGAAACAACATTTTAAATTATAAAAAATAAAACCATTACTGTTAAATAAATCACCATATTAACTATGCTTTTAATTCAAATGTGTGTTGTTAAGTTTGTAGCAATATTTGTCTCAACTATATCATCATCTAAGTGGTTTGTAGCCAATTGCAAAAATTCATCATTAAGGCCAAAAAATTGGTCAAGCTCTTGTTGTTGGTATGACTCATTCTCATATACTTCATCTTCTACATCTTCTCCTATTTCATATAAATCTCTTGGCTTTAGATGTACAACAACACTCCATCCTTCATTAACCACATCATCTACTTAACACACCATTTGTGCTTGAGATGCTTCAATATAGGGTTCATGTTCTTCACGATCACCAACATGAATCAATCTATTAAAATTAACACAATTGAAATTCCAAGAATCCTTCTTATATCCTCTATGATGAGTAGTATCAGCCCATTTACATTTTAGAAGAATAACCTTGAACCAACCATAATAGTTAATCTCCATGATGTCTTCTAATTTCCCATAATATGCTAAGTCTGCTTGCCTTAAGTTTCTATCAACACTACTTGCAACACAAGATGTGTTAGAGGTTAAGAAAAACTCCACTATTCTATCTTTTCAACCCTTCTTCTCGAGCTAAAGTTCAAAATTTGAACCCGTTGATATTATAACTGGTAAATCTTCTTGCATTGTCTAATGGACCTCGTGCTAGAAACTTTATATCAACAGATATTGTGTTTATTGAACTTGGATTCATAATCTAGAAAAAAAGGAAGTAATAATGTTTCCAATTTGATAGTAAATATGAAAAGTAAAAAACAAAACTACTTATTTACTACGCACCCTTTTTCGAAACCAATAAACAAACTTCCTATTGACTCTTTTTTCTATATTTGTAGTTAAAGGTCTTCTTCCCCTTGAACTCCTCTTTATGAATTGTCTAAATTCACTACATAAACAAATTTGCTTATAATTAATGTGCATGGCTAGAATATTACAAATAATATAATGAAAATTAATTTAATGTTAACATCATTTACTTACTCAACAAAAGGCATGACAATTGCACAATTTAAAAGCACCTATCTATGAGCTTGTAGTTTTTCCATTTGAGTTATAGTGAACATTGAGGAAGCTCCTACTGGTTTACCCATTCGAGGGAAGATAGAGGACATTTCATGTGTCTCATTCTCATTTTGGTCATCACAAACACATCTAGGCCTATTAAACCTTGTCTCTATATCTTCTATGTATCATGAACAAAAAGTAAGAGACTCTTCAGCTAAGTAACCCCCAGCTATAGAACCTTCTGGTTGTGCCTTATTTCGTACAAAAGACTTTAAATAACCTAATTCCCTATATAAAAAAAAAAAAATGGATAATATAATTAGTCTAAAGAAGTAGAACTTATTTGAAAAAATACCTCAAAAAGTATTTATTTGTTTACCTTTCCACACGATACATATATTGATAATGCACAGGTCCTCCCAGCTTTGCTTCATCTATTAGATGGAAATTTAAATGAATCATAACTATGAAGAATGATGGAGGGAATAACATTTCTAGGTGGCAAAGTGTAACAAAAATCCGATCTTGGAGTTTATCAAGGTCTAAAATGTTCAAGCATTTACCACAAAGAACTCTAAAAAATGAGCAAAATTCCACCAAGACTGCAGTCACATGGGTTGACAATAAATTACGAATAGTTAATGACAACAATTGCTCCATAATAATATGGCAGTCATGACTTTTTAACCCAAAGATCTTCTTTTGCACCTCATCAATAAATCTTGAGGTATTACTCGAGTACCCATCTGGTACTGTAACATTTTTCAGATTTGTAAGAAACAACTTTTTGGCTTCACCTGTTAGTGAATATAAAGCAAGGTGATATGATCCTTTATCATCTGGTCAAAGGTCAGGCTTTATGCCCATATCTTTTACATTTTTTCGAGCATTTAGATTGTCTTTTGATTTTGACTTATCGTGGAGCAAAATATATATGATATTGTCACATATATTTTTTTTCTATATGCATAAAATTTAGATTATGACACAAGTTAGACTTCCAATACGGAAGTTCAAAGAATATACTCCTTTTATTTCATTTCTTAGTTGCTTGTCTAGGTCTTTTTACCCTACCATGTTGCATTGCTCCTTTCCCAAATGTAACATTAAGACTTTCCACTTTCCTTAAAAGGTCAACCCCTGATAATTTTAATGGTGGATTTTGTTCCTCCGTGCTTTCATCAAATCGAACATGATTCAATCTAAATCTATGATATGTGCTCAAAAATCGATGATGACCCATAAAACACCATTTTTTACTGTGAGGAAGTCGACAAGGTTCTGCGTCAAAGTTACAAGTTGGGCAAGCCAAACCTGTATGTGTATTCTAACCAGATAGAATGCCTAACCCCAGAAAGTCACTAATTGTCCACATAAGAGCTACTCTCATTTTAAAAGTTTCATTTAATGATGAATCAAATGTTTACACACCATTATCCCATAACTCAATTAACTCTTTCACCAAGGGTTGTAAGTAAATATCTATATTATTTCTAGGCATCTGTTTGCCTGGAATGATCATTGATAAGATGAAAGAAGTGTGTTTCATACATATCCAAGGAGGAAGATTATATGAAATCAAGAACACTGGCCAAATGCTGTATGCAGAACTCATGGTTCCAAAAGGATTGAAACCATCACTAGTAAGGCCTAAGCAAACATTTCTAGGATCTAAAGCAAACTTAGGGTGTATCAAATCAAATGTCTTCCATGCCTCTCCATCCCTTGGATGCCTTAGCAACCCATCTTTGTTGCCCCCTAAAACATGCCATCTCATATGCTCAGCAGTCTTACAACACATTAACAATCTTTGCAACCTTGGTTTTAATGGAAAGTAACGCAAAACCTTTGCAGCTTGCGTTGTTTCTTCTTTGGGTTCCATCTCGATGTACCATAATGCTTGCATGTTTGCAAGTCTTTATCATCGTTTTCTAAATATAACATACAATCATTTAGACATGCATCTATCTTGGTGTAGTTAAGGCCAAGTTTGGTAATGATTTTCTTGGCCTCATAAAAAGAAGGAGGTAATTTTGCTTCATGAAATGCATCTATTAACAAATCTAGTATCATAGTCATTGCCTTGTCACTTAATCCACACAAAACTTTGATATGATACAATTTTATTATAAATTCTAGCTTTGTGTGCTTGCTCCCTTCCTACAATGCCTGGTTTGCATCATTGAGAAACTCACTAAAGCCATTATGATTTTCTATAGGATGCTCATGTAATCTTTCATCTGCACCTGATGCTTGCGATGTCGTTGCATTAACGATTTCTTTCTCCCAGTGCCCAAATGCATCATTAACCATGGTCTCCATTGGATTTGCAAAGTTGAATGACTCGTGTGGACCATCTTCATCTATAGAAGGCTCTAATATTTGTTTCTCACCATGAAGATTCCATAACACATAATTTTCAGGAAATGGTCTACAAATCAAATGATCTTGTACCACTTGTCTAGTTTGCCATTTCATAAACCCACACTTTGGACATTGACAACGTATAGTATCCCCAACAGCTCCATTCTCAAATGCAAAGTCTAAGAATTTACTCAAACCAATTGAGTATTCAATTGTATTTCGTGACTTAGAAATCCAAGATTTATCCATTGGTCAATATGATTTTGATGCACAATATGAGATAAATAAGAAAATTCTTGGCCGGATGACGAGAAGATTTTTACACAAACATGCTATCATGAATGGCAAGAAGATTTTTATACATTGTCAAATAATAATTCCAAATCCATCACTGTCAATTTTTTATTTTTTAAAGATAGAATTAATATTTAAAACTCATCATAGTTGTACTCAAATCTAGTAATTATATGTCTCCTTTAGCTTCTTTCTCGCTCTTGAAGTTTCTCCTGGAAAATTTCTCCATTTTTTAGAACTCTTGTCCTATACTTTTAGAGGCAGAACATTACAAAACTTTACAACTTCTACTAGAGTTATATGGTGAAAAATATGCATAGAAACTGAACTCTA